AATTTTATGACTTTATTCTCGTAATTTTATGACTATTCTCGTTGCAACTTTATTCTCGTCATTTTTACGACTTTATTGTCATAATTTTATGACTTTATTCTCGTAATTTTATGACTATTCTCGTTGCAACTTTATTCTCATAATTTTACGATTTTTTTTCCTGTAATTTTACAACTTTATTCTCGTAATTTTATGACTTTATTCTCGTAATTTTTTGACTATTCTTGTTGCACCTTTATTCTCGTAATGTTACAACTTTATTCTAGTAACTTTATGACTGTATTCTAATAATTTTATGAATTCTCCTAATTTATGACTAATCTCTTAATTTTACGACTTTATTCTCGTAATTTTATAACCTTATTCTCGTAATTTTACAAGTTCTTTCTCAAAATAGAAGGGAAAAAAATCTCTACCCTGGCCCTAATACTCTGTCGTATTTCTCTAGGATGTTGACATATATAGAAAAAAGTGTAAAAAGGATATTTTTTCCAACTTCATGTCAAGAGAAACAGATCCAATAAATAGAAATGCTTCTATTGATCCATAATCCTCCGTCTTTCTCAGGGTCATTTAGACGAGATGTGGGGTCTGGCCACCCACCCCTCTCAGAACATCTTCCTGACCTGCAGCCATGACAGACAGGTGTGTCTGTGGAACACAGAGCAGCACAGCCTGGACTGGTGCATCACCCTCGAGGTACCGTCCAACTCTGTTTGATTTTCTTTACGAAAAGAATGTTTGAAACCAACAATTTCTAAAATATGCAGATCAGTTTTACTAATACTTCAAGCCTTATGGAGAGAAATGTTTCATTATTTAGAAAAAATGCATCAGAACTTTGATAAAACTTCTCAATCAAGAAGGTTTTCAGATTAATTTATAATGGTATTTAAAAGTCAACTTTTTGGAAATAGTTTGATCTCTTTGGACGTTAGTTACAGCATTATTACCGTATTTTTCGGACTATAATTCACCCTTTTTATTCATGGTTTGTTTGGTCATACGATTTATACTCTGGTGCCACATATATACTTTCTTTTTTCACCACGAGAGGGCGCTGTGTAGCTTTGCACGCGACAACATGTATTCTATTAATACCACTGAAAGAAAAAAACGTTACAACTTACTACAACAAAAAAATTTGCATTACAAGAATGACGACTGAATAGAAATATGCCGCCCAAAAGAATTAACCTGCCACACGCCACTTTTCAGAACACGGTTTCCATGGATACAATAACCTTTCAAAAAGGCGCGACTTTTAGTCCCCTGCGAACTGTTATGTTTTTTCGTCTTCATAATGCATTTTTTGGCCGATGCGACTTAAACTTCGGAGCGACATATAGTCCGAGAAATACGGTAACCGATCTCAGTCTTTATAAACCTGAGATAAAGTCCTAAGAGAAATGGAATCAAATTCTTCCTCCTGTGATTGAATCTGTAGACGAAAAGGAAAATGTTCAGATTGTGGATTTAGCTGCTTTCTAGAGAACTTTAAAGACGTCTTCTTTAAATTTAGGGAGAAGTTGTATTATTTCCAGGAGGTTTGGACAGATGGATGTTTGTCTCCTACAGGAATATGGGTTGTGTGCGGATTTCTGCCCCAGTGGATCTGTTGTGTCTGTTGGACTCAGTACAGGAAGGTAAAACAGCACAAATGCATCATATGTGAAATACTTTACAAATCCAAATTTCAAGCTGATAGTGTTATTGGAATCCAGGACAAGACCTTATTACCTTAGTAACATTAAACAAAATATGGATAAATAAATGGCAAAAATAAATGTCAATGTAATAAAAAACAACTTGCCCGAATATATTAGGAAAAAAAAAACAAAAGTGCTTTTATAAGAAATTCATGAAAAACACTCAGAGTGAAAGAAACACATTTTATTTGGTACAACATTATGGAGGATAAAAAGTGCCAAAATTAAATAAATAAATGTGTCAATAATTAATTAAATGTGGAATTAAATAATTAAATGTGTCATTCATTAATTAAAACCACGTCGCTAATATAAAGTGCCACAATAAAATGAATAAATACAGCGATGAACAATTAATTAAATGTGTAATTCATTAAATAAATAAGGAATTAAATATATAAATGTGTCATTAATTTAATAAAATATGTCTTCATTTTATTTAAAAAAAA